GCCGCTCTTAAGTGTTTTACCCTGACCGGAGTGCATTTTCACACAGACCTTCGCAGTGCTGAAAGGAGGAGGAGGAGGAGGCTGCTCATTTGGCGCCCCTTTCCCATCTTTTAGGCATACCTATGACTTATGCATGCCTTTCTGTGCGTCCCTGTAATGTGCTGTGTGTGCGCATCCATGCCGTTAGCTGGTCCATTCACTTGATTTGTGTACAGTCAGAACCCATCAGGACAAGAGATGGGTTCAGTTGTTCATGGGGAAAAAAAGATCTGAAGCAAGTCACGACCGTTGCACATTGAATATCACACACTGAAGGCGAACTCCTCGATTTATCGGCGCTAAACAAACACAAGCAAACAAGTGCTCCCTGGGTACGTCGTCAGTGATCTTAAGATGAGGCACTCATTGTAGGTCAAACATGCCAGAAAGCAGATGCGGCATAAGGAGGCTTAGGGAAATTAATGAAGGTGTCTATGCAAAGTAGGCGACAGCAGTGGCATCATGATGCCGCGCTTTAGAACGCTCACTTCCACAATTGAGGTTTACGATGAGGTCGCTTCTCGTTGACACAGCTGGCGGCTTTGCATGCAGGCTGAGCTGACACGCAACAGAGACAATGCGCGCAAGATGCATCAAACAAGATAGCGCCGCCTGCTTTGAAAGAGGCATTTATTGACCAGTATATTCAGCGCTGGAGTTTGCAGTCGTGAAACAGCAGACTAAAGGTGTTGCTGCGTGGAGCTCATGTTTCGAAACTGGCACGACGACGACGAGCTGGAGGTGTACACGCAATGCCACGGGAAACACTTCAATTGAATGACCAGCTTTGTTGGAGCGGATGCAAATTTCCCGCATCGTTGAAATCACCTTTGGCAGACAGAACGCTGAGCTAAAATCTGGCATATTAGAACGCTAAGGCTGCCACGCCGATCAAGTAGAAGGCTCTTTATTGTTTATTTTTTATTCCAGAGTTACTCTGACAGTCGGTTTTCCAGTAGCTGTCACTTGATGCACTTTGGGCCTTTTGTGCGCTTATCACACTTTGACATAATCCCGATGAAGAAAAGTCGTCTGACTGCAAATGTTTTACGGGTGCAATGTTGTCAGAGTTCTTGTGCAGTTCATATTCGGGTGACTGTTTTGGATCTGTTGTTGTTGTCTTTTTTTTTTTGTTTTGTTTTTTAATTAAGAGCCGCACAAAAGGACAGTCATGTCAGTTGTCAAAATGGATTCGATGGAATGAAAGAAAGAGCAAAAACGAACACAACAAAGAAATAATGAATTATTTTTTAAAATTTGCTTTAAAAAGTTGGGTGAACTCAAAAATGTCAACGTATACATTTTGAAGTCGGGCAATCCAGCTAAATATTTGAAGCGGTGCTGTGGGGAAACTTGGCTTTCCCGCATTTCACAACAAAGAAATGAGAGTTGACCCAACCGTTGTCCCTTGCACATGTCCGCCAACTTCTAGATGGATGTTAAAAGAAACTCAGCAAATTGTTTTGGAGCAAAGCAACTTGCTTGCGTATAGTTGTGGTCGCTAACCTTGTTGCCGCGTCTAAAAATGTAACGTCCTCCCGGAAGGATGCATTTGAACGAATAAACAACTGACTCCAAAGATTGACCGAGTAGAAGGACATCGAGGGATTTCATTCCAAATTGAACGGTGACTTGACAGAGAATATTTGGAAGTGTGGGGGGAAGAAAAAAAATCTCCAGTTCAAAGACATGACTAATGTGCGCACAGGCTACAAGCGAAGATACTCCAGCTTCTATGTGATAACACATTAATGCGATTAAAGTCCCTCCGTACCAGCTTTGATTTGATCCAACGTGCAAGTGTTGAGCAAGCACGTGAGCCTTCGCGTTTTCTTTTCGATCCTCCCCCTGAAAATGTTCCGCGTTGGACAGAAACCAGACGAATGCGACCTGACCGCAGTGGTTTGGACAAACCGGTGCTCTTATTGCCTGGTATGAACTGGACTTACTGCTCAGGCCTGTGGGGAATCCTTGGTGCATGTCTGGCCCTAATTAATGCCCCTCACTGCAGCGTCTTGTTCGAATAGAAGATAGAGAGAGAGGGAGGGCGAGAGAGAGAGAGAGTCAGTCGCAAAGGAGCCCATTAAATATTGATTTTATTTGTATAAATACCCGCAGCTTTAAGCCCTGCGTGACCCCTCTTGCTGGCTTGGCAACGTTGTGGCTATAAGAAGCGGTGGAAGATTGCACACGGAGCTCCCGCAATGCGACATGATGCTGACCCTTCTTCCTCTATCGAACCATCACAAAAGCCGACAAGTCTTTGGACCAATTATTGGCCCATCAGCTCACAGCACCTAACGCCGATTATCGGGTGAGCGATCGAAAGAATGGGTTGGCACAAGCACTCAAAGACCCCGAGTAGACTGAGTGTAGTGTTACTCTGTGCTACTTTGACATGATGACCGACAGACAGAAGAATAGAGAGGATAATTACTTTCCTCTCTCTCTCTCTCTCTCTCTCTCTCTCTCTCTCTCTCTCTGTCTCTCCACTTGGCTGTCTTGTGTTCACCTTGGCCGCTGTCCAGTTTAAGCCATCAGATATTGGAGCTAATGCAGTTCTTGCCCGAGTCCCTGATGAGCGGCCACCATGTAGGCACGCAGAAGATGACCGAGAATGCATTTATGATGCAAACAACTCACTGGTGGCGCGGTGGTGTAATAGTGGTGAGTGCAAGAACCTCACAGATTTGAGGCTCGGGATTTGAATCTGGGCTTCAGCTTTCCGGTGTGGTGCTCGAAAATGTTCTACGGCTCTATTTTTATTGACCGGCGCATCTGCGTTTTCATGCCGTGGCATGTCTCGGCGGTGACAGGAGGCAGTTTGGACATTAGACCAGGGAAAAGCCGGTCTAACTTGTGCCAGTGTATTTCATGCCTCCATTTGACGACAGCGAGTCGTGTTATAAAATCGATATCCGTTTCAAAAACCAATCTTATTAAGCCGATCCAATTGCATGTGCATCTGAAGTGGATCCTCCATTATTCATACTTCAAATGATGTCAACTTTTTGGCCACGCGGTGCGCTTTAAGATCACAATCATAGGGTGCAATGCTTTGCTGCTCCAAGTCCTTTAGTTTGTTTCATTTACATCTCTGTCAAGCGCACCTTTTGCCAGTGGCTTTGTAATGCAAATCTTTCACTCTGCCAGGGCAAACGTGACAGGATTGTCAAATTGAAAAAAAACATCAATGTATGCACCTTTGAGTGTGACATCCATCAAGTACTCATTGTCATGGAAACGCCACACGATGACCGATGTTAAAGGAAAGAGATGCCATTCATGCTGGCTCTGCGGACAGTGTTCTCTTGTTTTTCTGCGGCGTGCACAGGATAAATATGCACGTGATATATGCAACAGCAGTATTTGCGAGGAGGCCAAGCTGATCAGTGTCCATGCTGGGCTTTGTCACAGCTGACCTATATTAGATGAAAGCAGCTGGATCAGTGGCCTGCAGGGACGGCAAAAGAGTTGCGCTCTAATTATCTCTGCAGATAGCGAGCGACACCACGGCTCACATGACTACACACACACAGACAAACGGCGGCGAATCAATGGGAGAATCTGCCGCCGATGCGGCACAACACGTATCAATATTACGCGCTCAGCTTTTTCACCTCGCCGGGTCGCGGCGTTGACACGACTTGATTCTTCCCTGAGAAACGCAACCGCAAAGAGATCACTGAGAACTTATTGGTTATTGTACGAGAGTCGTCCTGTAAACCGGCTATCGTGCGTGTAGCTGGGCCCCTGTGTTGCCATGGTAACGCCAGCCCCCACTTACAAAAGGCGTGTGTCGGATAACTAGAAGCGGCAGCGATGAAGAAAAGCCCAGACAACTCATGCTCGCTGCTTACACTAAGACGTCGATACAGGATCTCACCAAAGTGAGTCCGCCCCTCACCTTTCTGACGCACCATCTTGAACTTCACGCGACCAGTATGAGAGAATACGAGCGCGATAGCCGCAAATTTGACACAACTGCTCCCATTCTCAACAACAACAACAACATTCTCAAAAACAATCATGAGTACCGAGACGGCAGGGAGAGAAAATGACTCATGGGGCTTCATTAGGACAGTTTCATTTCAGGGCCTGCTCACTTTTGTTGCCATCGGATTGGCCATTAGGGACCCGTGTACGCGATTCTAGCCAAGTGTCATTTCTGAAGTGTTGTAGATATAATTACATAAAAAAATTGAGACGCCACAGTTAATCTTATACCTGTGCAAACATTTTAGCAGCATTTAGCAGCAATCTACGCCGTATTATTTTTCCCCCACCCCATAATCAGATTAAGCTAATTCTACGGGGACCCAAGTCATGTTTAAAACACGGGGACGGTAGCTGACGGTAGCACTTACACAATTAGCTCTTGTCCCCGCCCCCCGTAAACGGTAATTACATACAAAACTTGAGACGCCACAGTTAATCTTATATGAGTGCAAACATTTTAGCAGCATTTAGCAGCAATCTACGCCGTATTATTTTTCCCCCACCCCATAATCAGATTAAGCTAATTCTACGGGGACCCAAGTCATGTTTGAAACACTGGGACGGTAGCTGAATGCGCCACGTACACAATTAGCTCTTGTCCCCGCCCCCCGTAAACGTTTTTCCATCACTAATCTTGTCCTCTAGTTTACACCCACCCACACACACACACACAAACACACACACACACACACACACGTACACTCTTGGCACATCATTTTCTCTGATCATCTCTTCTTTCTACCACAGTCCATTTTCAGGCATCACCAGGGACCCATTTACAGGTCAGACTTCATGGGGAGTTGTGCATTTACCACCAGAGAGAGAGAGAGAGAGAGAGAGAGATGCTCTGTCACACAGTATCGGCTGATGGCCACCTTCCCTGATCTGTCTTTTTTCTCTCTCTCTTTGTACAGCAGAGGGACTGTGAGTGAAATATAAAGCCAGCTGCTTCTCTCCGGGCCCCAAGCACCACCAGTTCCTGATGAGATTGTGGTAAGTGGCCTATATGCACACACACACACACACACACACACACACACACACACACACACACACACTCACTCAAGTGTCATACCCGCTGCTAGTCGTCACCCAGCACATATAAATCCCACTTCTGCTTGCCGTGTCCTTGAAAAATCATCTCCCGGAGGAGCGTGCGAGAGAGCCTGGTGAGACCTCTCAAGGATTAACCTGCAGTCAGTGAAGGAGCTCTAAGAAAGTGCGTGCCAATCACTCTCCTCAGCTTTTCGCGTCGTGGGTGCGAAGCGGAGTTGTCCTCGGTGGTTTTCTGGTCCGTACGTTGGCTTCTCCGGGTCAGCAGTCACATAAGCGATATTCTTGAACGGCCACAGTTGACAGAGAATAGAGAGAAGCGCGTCTGACAAGTTGGAGCTGGCACAGACGTAAATTGAAAAACAGCAGCGGGGCCGACTGGCCCGGGGGTTGTACCGTGACTCTTAGCTATCAGACTCCCTTTTTCCTCACATCTTCCTTCGCAGCTCGGCTGCGGAGCCTTTTTGTGACGTCAGAACATGGAAATCTGGTGCCTGGAAGCACACTGGCTCCATCAGCTCATGTGTAATTTCAGCTCAGTAAGGTCGTGGCCGTTTTGAGGTGAAAATGTGCTCACTTTCTGGCTACGGATAGAAACAAAAAAATCTATTGTTGTCAAACAACGCTGCGGTGCTTTGATTCATTTATTTATTTTGCACTGCGACAGATACGGTAAAGAGAGAGCAACCAAAAAAAGGGCCGGCGTGATAAATGAGCGGAATTCTCAAATGATACTTTGTAATGCTGTTGCAAAAACTTGACTCTGTTGAGTAGCAAAGGGCTCTGGCCAAATGAAAAATCACCACTCATCCCAAACCATCGAATGCAATCAAAACACATTTTCTGTCGACACCAGCCGCGCTCCTCTGCCGTTGTCCATCTTTTCGATGTAATTCATTCTCACAGCCCTCTCTTGTGACCTCATGATGATTTATGGAGATCTTTTATCAGCGCTGAAGTGAGAGCTCATCTTTTTTTTTTTAAACTCCTCGAGTCCCGTAGCGTTGAAAAAAAAAAAGGGCGCAGGGGG